GACATTTCTAAAAATGGAATGCATACAGTGATATCTAACTGTGCTGGGCAAGATCTGCCACATGACAAGTACGCTCCATATCGCTGAAGATTTCCAAACTAAGACGATACAGCTGTACAGTGTCCTCGTGTCCTCAACGGTTATCCTGCAGATGAAAACTATTGTGAAGTTGTAAAATAACCACCTTTTATTCAAATCATCTCTTGCTGTAAAACCAAACAACAAACACCTTGTTCAAACTAGTTCTTCACATTAGATTACCCTACTTACAGACACATTCGCAAGTGCAATCTCGCTTCTTACATCCAGCTTTTCCTAAAATGTATAGACAATGTGTAATATGTGTTCATAAAGTCATTACCATTGTTTCCCATTTACTCAACTAAAACTCTCCACATCTCTTTATAACGTCTGCCTTACACAGTTTAGTTTACCAAACAAGAATGAACAAACTACTGATCATAAGACTCTAGACAAGACTGTTTGTATCACCACAGCAAGAATAAAAAATGTAAACTTATTTTTTATACCGACTAGGTGAAACACAGCCCCATGTTCCGAAGTTGTCGATTTCAATCTCAGAACAAACCGAGGTTTTTTGGAAAAATCCTATCACCATTCTCAGGTATGCAATTGAAGAGCACAAATCAAAAGGTTACACCACGACATTGTACATTACAACTGATTTCTCAACAAGAAAGAAGAATCAATAATTTTTGCGTATGGTGTCCAATCGCCTCGTACATATGCAACATGTTGATTCTGAGTGAACTTATAATAACTATATATATATATATATATATATATATATATATATATATATATATATATATATATATATATATATATTGACTGTCATCTCACAAAAATATTGATTTGCTTTAAAATATTTGCATCAAAGCACATTAAAGTGATTATCGACTAATGTTCAACTTTCCCACGCTTAGCATTGGCTTCTTCCTATTGGTTATTATGATTCTAGATGTGCTATTTGTTCATCTTTATATATATATATATACATGTTTTCTGTATTTTTTGCAAAAATGTTCAGTTATGCATACTCAGAATTACAGAAATTCTGAAAAGTGACCTCTTATAAGCTTAATTATTTCTTTTCTAACAATGACAACTATTACATAGTTTGTTCATTCCATGGAAAGAATAAAGCTATACAGAAGTTATAAATGGGAGGATTTTATTCACTAGTCACCTATGCAAACTAATCAAATGAGGTATGCATATCATTACTGAAATGTCGATCAGTGGGAATATGTGATAAATAACAGTGCATATTAATGATTTCTAAAATGATCAGTTCCGTTCAAATAGCTGGTGATACAGCTGTCAGTCTGATAAGCGATATTCTACATGAAATTGCACAACCAAGTTTCAATAATATTGTGCATATATTTTGTCTGCTAGAGTTAATTGGTGTATAAGCTGCATTGTACACTTAAATTTAATGTTATAAAGAATAGATTTACACTACTGAAAAAGAGAGCAAACCAAGAGGTTTACCCATTTCTATTGAGAAACTATTAGAAATACAGTTTTAGTTAGACAATAGACCGATAAGTCTGTGATCTGATAAGCTGAAGTTTTCTTGATCAGCGAACGCACACAAATGCTTTTAAATAGTTTTTAGATTTCAGAAAAGAAACTATATGAGTAGAGAAATATTTCTCTTCACTTAGTTCCTCATCCATGGCTCTACACTACCAACCATATAGCATTTTCAAAATATAAAATTGCATATCACACAAGTGGTGATATCTATTTCACAGCAGATTATCTATGTCAAAGTATCAAGGGCGTGATAATAATTCAGAGCCATTAAAACAGTGGAGAGAGAATGGAATAGACACATTGTAAAATTTGTGAAATTTTTAAACAGGTTGTTGCACAACGCATAGTCTGTGTAATTGGAAGTAAGACGGGAAGAAGCGAAAACGATTCATTATGTGAAATAGTCGATTGTTGACGCGAATTCTAGAGAAGATAGGAAGAATGAGGTGGCTAAAACTCTGATGATGATAATGATTGCAAACACTTGTGAGATGAATGAATGAGTGGTTGGTGTTTATTACAGATAAGCCAAACATATGGAGAAGTGAAAGAAACAGGCTGTATGCATTTCTTGTGAACACATAGACTCGTCTTGTTCAGGCACATTTCAATGAATTTTGCCATGTGTAAAAGACGAGCTTGTGGAGAGCATGAGTGAGATTAGAAGGAATATGAGAAATAACCTTCAAGGCGTTATGAATATTAACTTGGTGATCAGTATCAACCAGAGGAGAGATCACTGAGCTCCATATGCGTCTTGTTTACCCTTCACTTATCCATGATGGATGATGTTTGTCAATTCGATGATGGACTTGTCTAAATGTTTACCTGATGCAACTAGCTCGACAGGAACAGTTGAACTGATTGGTGCGCATAGAATATACAAAGTGATGTAGTCTGTCTTCGATTCACGAAGTCGAGATCGGTCGACTGTAGCATACACAGCATAACTCTGCTACACTCATCGATCTCCTTATGACTCGTTAAGCACTGTATCACAATCTCGCTGATGATGTCACTCTGAAACTGTAGTTTTGAGAACAGTTGCTATTTGGAAGCTAATTTTTCTAGCTAGAAACTCTTTGGATATGCAATGCTACAGAATAGATGATGGATGTTTTGAAGTTGTTCATCGGAAGTGTCATCTAGCCAGACAAGTCATGCCCGATGGATCAAACATTCGACTAAATTTCGTTTATATTGCAAAGAGACGAAACGAAGCAGTGATTGTGTTGACCAGTTGACAGTGGTTTCCGATATTCACTCCTTTTCATAGTTCTATTCGTCTTCCTTGTCAACCGAACAACCAAGGAGGTGATGTTATCATCACTTTCTATCTGAATGGTGAAAGTTGTCGCAGGTTGGATGGTATTAAGTTTGTCCAGTATAATACTCGTCTTATCCACCTTCTTCATAATTGTCAGTGTTTGATGCAGGTGAAAGTAGTGAAATGTTAACTGGTTTGCTGGGCTTTTCGAAGAACCGTTTTGTGATTTTGCTAGGAAAGTATGTGCTAAGATTGTGCTTATTGGTGACTTCATAGAAACACATTCTGACTTTCTATCAAATTCGTTGTTGCAGAAGGAATGTACATGCATCTTGCGTCTTTCTAGTTCTCAAGATGGATGCTGATACAAGTAACTGCTGTAAAGCAGACTATCAGTTATGCAGCAACCTGTTTAAACTTTCGCAAATTTTGCAATGTAATTATTCGATGCTTTATCCATTGTTTTATTTAACTTGAATTTATGTCATTCTCTTGATATTATGACATTGATAAACCATTATGAATCGATTAACACTATTTGACTGGTATGGAATTTTATATTTCGGGAATACTATATATTAGTCCAGAGTCATCGACGAGGAACTAACTGAAAGGAAATATTTTTTTCGCCTACATAGTTTATCGTGTACATATCGATTGCAGAACCACTGCATACTTAAGATCGGTGGACAGCTGTCTAACCCTTGTTATTAGTTTGTTGGAGGCATTGGGCAGCCATCCCTGCATTTTGGTACTCTTCAGCAACGTGTGCTTGCAGCCTTGGAATAACTAATTTCCTTTCTGAAATTTGTACCCGCGCCATATACTGTTGCAGTCAGTTACGTTAACACTGAGGTATTCTGGCCGTAATTGACCTCCTGTATGACTAGAGTAGATAATTTGGTTGGTTACTGGAAAGGAATCCATTTCATTTTATCTGCTGAATTCTGACCGAATTCTATTTTCAGTAGTAACAGATCGACGTGAGGTGAGTCAGGTCTCATGGCGAGTGTGTTACCATTCCGTCACTAACTTCGAATACAATGGCTTACGAATTCTCGCCTTTATGGATTAGCTGTATTGCATGACCATCATACTGTGTCATAGGTGACCATCTAACCTATTCCTGAATATGTTGATACCGTAAGTCCTAAATTGTCAGTGGAACTTTGGGAAGTTCATTTTGAATCATGTCTCAGTCGGCGGTTTGTAGATACATATCGATTCAAAGCAGCCGTTCAGTGCTCCCAGTTTTCACTGATTGTCCAGCTAACGTCCATGTGAGATGATGTCTACTCTTGGATCAGAACAAAGTATTCAGAATGATAAAGTAACTTTCCTGAAAAAACATGCTTCATGCATCCAAAACAATATATAATCTTTAGCCAGTCGTCTTGTGTGTTACTAATGAGAATGTGTTTAAAGTACTCATTCCTTTGACACTATAGGTAGTCTTTATTTAGCAACAGTAAGTATTTTATACAGTAGGCAGATTTCAGTCTTTCGATTATTTCAGACATTAGTTAATCGTTAAAAGAAACTGTATGTTTTAAGGACGACATTAATTTATTGATTGTACGTGTCTTTTAGTGTGTATAGGAAGTGAATGGTATGCAAAAACTGGAAATCTATATAACTACAATAAAAAAAATCGATGTGAATAAAGGTAGACTAGCCAGTATGCTATTTAATCAACCAATCAGTTCATTATGTCCGTTGTGTACCTTCTGATTGGTAATCGTGCTATACATCCAGATGTCTTGCTTCACATACACAAACACACATAGCCACACATGCACTCACATGCACAAACACGAAAAGAAAGATTCGGTAAAAACAGGAAAATATAGCTACCTACACATCGACTATCAGTACCCTTACACAAATGTTAAGCTTGTATTGTGCAAAAGCTAAGTAATCAAGAAAATTTTCAATTTCTCTCCTTCACTTTTGTTGATTGGCCGTGGCAAGACATATCCCAATTTAAACGAATTACCATAATGTAAGAAAAGTTCTTTCAATCATCTCGACAACCATTCATATTGGTTTGCAAGTTGAACTATTGGAGAACATTTTTTAAACATTTTACTTAACAAACGGATTCTTTATCTGTAGTAGTACTGTTTTTGTCATTATTAGTACTAGTAGTAATTTTATTATAACGATTATGGCACTTGAACCAGTTGTGATCAGTCTTCGGAGAGCAACATCAGATAAATCTTGGGGATTCGCACTGCAAGGCGGTGTAGACCAAGGATTGCCGGTATTTGTTCATAAAGTGAGTCAGTTTATTCTCATGCTCTATTAAACTTCTATTCTTTATCATTGGATTACATGTTGTGTAATAATGGTATCATAAATAATTACTTGGTTTGTGATGAACTGTATTCGTTTAGAGAGCGGTTTTATTTCAGAAATGATGTGAGTTAGTAGATCACTTTCAAATGAAGAGCTCACTTTAAACTCTTCAGTAGTGGGGAACCACTTAAGTACACGTTCAACCATTCCTAACTGTATATCACGACTAGTCCTCCCTGTGTATGTTTTCACACGTACATGTAAATTGATAAACACAGTGCAGTGTGATGCAATCGTTTATGTGTTGTTTTAGTTTGCGTTGTGACAAGGAGTTCGTATTTTCTACAGTGATGACCTTTTATTATTTGTTATTTGTTCCTCGGGTTCCTAGTGGAACATAGGGCTTCAGTATTACGTCTCCGTTTCACTCTCTTCTCTTCAGTCTTTTCAACCTGACACCACGACAGCCCACAAGCTTTCATTTCTCCCTCACATGATCTCCTCCATGTCACCCTTGGACGCCCAACTCGTCATTTCTCCTATGGATTCCACTCGACGGCCTGGCGCGTGATGTCCCCGAATGGTCTTCTCAGTGTGTACCAAATCCATCTTCACTCACTTCTTCTGCATATTTGTTGGGTAATAGGTTCCTGGTTGTTTCGTTCCCAGAGTTCCTTATTGCTTATTCTTATTATTCTGGACACCTGATCTTCAGTATCGAGTGAGCGTAAGAGGTAGCTATTGATGTATATCTGTAGTTTGTTAGAAGTGTTTTTCTTGATTCGTCAAGTTTCTGAACCATCACATAGAAGGACTGACTTAACATTGGTGTTGAAACTCCGGATCTTGTTCTTAACGCTGAGTGCAGTAGATCTCCACACTGATTTCAAATTAATGAAGGCCTGTCTTATTGTCTTTCCGATCCTGGCTGGCTCTGACATCCTCATCTGTGCCACCTGTGGTTGAAACGATGCTGCCTTGACTAGGTAGGCGAAAGAGAATACTTCCTTTAGGTTTCTCCAGTTGATGGTGATTGGTGCTTGTTGTTGTTGGTTGGGCATCTCCATCGCCTCACCTCTGTCTTCTCTACATTCACCTAAAGGATGTCCCATCTACTCTGCCTCTTCTATCAACTTGTTGGTTCCTGTCTGTAGCTCTTCGAGCTTTTGCAACGAGACACTAGACATAAATCATCATGTGCAAAATCAAAATCTTCCAGGGCCTTCTCATCGGTCCAGCCAGCCTATGCCCATCTTCTCGCTCCTCACGGTTTGTTGCATGATCCAGTCTACCAGAATCAGGAAGATCATCGGTGGTGACAGTAGGCAGTCTTGTCTTACTCCTTCATGTCTTCACTTCAAAGGTGTCACTGAGATTTCCATTGTGAATCACTTGACATGTGGTGTCGTCATATAGTTGTTGAATGAGGTTGATAAAGGTTTGTGGCACTGAAACCGTAGTGTTGAAGCAGCAGTTGCCAAATTACTTCTCGGTAGACGCTGTCAAAGGCCTTTTCAAAGAGTTGATTTCCATTCTATGCTCTGTTCTATGATGATGCGTAGTGTGGCGTTGCAATTTGATCTGTACATGATTTGTTCTTCTTAAATCCAGCCTGTTCCGGTTGTAATTTTGAATCCAGAGCACCTTTTAGTTTCCCTCAAGGATGATGCGGCAGTGATGACTTTAGCTGTATAATATGTTTTACAGATGGCTGACGTATGCCTATTTTTCACAATAAAGCTATGCGAATCACTTTTAGATGGTAATGACATGTAGATATTTTTCTCAAGAACGAAACACCGCATACTTTCAATTCTGAATAACTTTTGCACCTGTTTACAAATTTTAACAGGTAGCCATTCAGCATCAGTATTGTCGTCAGTAACTTGGGTTTCATCCTTTTTCATGTCATCGATGCAGATGCGGTTTATCCTGTTGAATAAGCACCTAACTAAACTACATTTATATTGGACGGGGCAATAGCTTTAGAAACTAAGATATTGCCCTGTGCATGTAGGCTTCCAACAGATCAACCTTCTGGTCGAGCCATCCTCCTATTTATTAAACACTATGCCTAAGAATGGTAGCTGGTTATTCGTCTCTTGCCCACAAGTAAGACTGATGCAATGTTGACCTCGTGTTCATCTTCCCCTCACACACATGTATAAGAAGGAGTAATCGTGATATGCAGAAAAAGATCGTTGAACGTGTACCTAAGTGAAGTCAAAAACAAATGACCTGAACAGAGCCAATATATGCAGGTGACAAACGTCCAACTTCATCTATTGTTAAACGCATACTAGAAACTAGTCAATGGGTAGACATAAAAACAGCTTTTACAATGCTACATGATAATGATCAAGGCTAAACGCTTAAATTTATTGGAGTTCTGGCCATCCAAAAATTCAAACCCCTGTTTTTTGGCCAAACGATTTGATGAAGTGTATTTGGAAAGTTAAACCGTCACCATAATGTTTATGACCTTCTGAAATTCAAACATCATTCAGTAATATTAAATTTCTAGTTGAAAGAACTCATAAGCTGACCACAGTTGAAATAAACCCTTCGCAAATAAGAAAAATGTGATTCAAAGGTAAATAGTTCATTCTTTTTAGAAATCTAGAATTAGTGACTCAAGTTTGAAGGGTACAGTCGATGATCTGATAAGATTTTTTACTTAAAACAGGCTGAATATATATTCAGTTCAAGTTCTTGCTCCAGCTCTTCAGATGAATTTGTTGCATTATGTAACATCACTGTTAATATATCTAAATTGGCCTGAAAAAGACTTGTACCAGGAAGTTTAAATGATGAGCTACAAATTTTCGCTGCTCATGTTTTTAAAATATTTTTATCATCAGATTACTCTTTGATATTCATAAATAAGATGATAGGAAACATCTGCATTGTTCAAAAATCAACCAAATAGTTGTTCAGAGAAATTGTAACCGATAAAAACGTTAAGGGTTTGTACAAAGTTCATGAAATAATTAATTCTCTACTGGTTAAACCACTGTGGTTTACCGCATAAAACTGACTAAAACAGGTAACAAATGTATAGACGTCAGGATTTAATGAATTCGTAAATTTCGGCAGAATTCTTCAGCTGAATATTCTCATTACTAGGTTATATGCACCATGATGTAATGCAAAGTGCATTTGGAACTAGAATGATGAATAATGTCATAATGATGTATAGGTTTTTTAAAACATTATCAAGTAGGCGTCTTAAAACTTTGGGGGTGTTTAGTTGAAAGCTGACTAACAAATTACATGGAATAAAACGATTACTAAATGACTACAAGTTACAGATCTGTTCATTAAACGGAACAAGTTACCACACGGTACAGGAATAAGAAAAACCAAGACGATACACTGACCAGACTGCTCACTGGAGAACAGTCAATTTCACGTTGTATAGTGCTGAATGCTGACCGAATTATATCGATCATTTTTCAGTGCGACCACCTAGCTAGAAGGACAACCATTACAGTACCATTTGATGAATGTTAGTTAATTGGTCATAAATGAGGACTAGGAAACATGGAATTAATTGCCATCCGGTGACCAACCAATGTATGTGATCCAGTCCTACAGGACGTCGATCATGGCCTGGGTATCTCAATAGTAAAGTTGCTGACTACGACACTGGGTGACGCGAGTTTGAATCTCAGGGGGGATATCAGTTCCTTTGAGGTAGTGTATACGCCTTACTGTTGAGTGCCAACAAGAACGAAACCTAGTTCCAGGACTTCCTGCCGATTCCTCTCCAACTAGCTAAAACTAAAAAATAATTCACTAGTGATAACGGTTACCAAAAAATTAATTTATTCATTCATGGTACATTAGAAAATATCACCAAAGCAAATTAGGAGTCACTTTCTGTTTCTTTCTGCAAATAAAGGGTTCATCTGAGAAGCCTAATTGCACGGACTTCAGTGATTGTAAGCAAATTCTTATTCAATTTTATGTTGATCACTATAGGTGACTTAACAGAGTTGATATCATGCCATAAGTCTTTTAAGAAGGGAAGAATTCAAGAAGTGCAGTGACTAAACACTTCCTAGACTTTGAGCGTGACGTCATTAAATCCTGGTTTTTATACTTTTGTTGCTTGGTTTAAATTTGTTCTAAAATATATTAACTTACCGATGTGAAGAAAACAAACGGCTTCAATCTAGGCTCAGACATTTAATTGTAACGGGTTTTAAAAAGAATCCAGAAGTGGGCAGAAGTTAAAGCATAATAGAGCTGTTTAGTCTGCATGGCATCACATTCTGTTTAGTAGGACAGTTTTCTGTATGCTGAAGTATTTAAAAAGACACTGTTTTGTTAAGATCAGTTGACACAGTCTTGATTCAGCAGACTCTTCCTAATATAATGAAGTGTTGATGTCCACTTAGTAACCCCACTCAAGTTCGTTTGTAGGCAGTCAGCCGCACCTTTTTTTATGAAGGTAAATGATACCACCTGGTTACATGAACTTTGGTAGACGGAGCGGGATTATAAACCGTGCCCCACTGTTTGAAAACCGAATGACTAAACAAATGAGCCATAGCTCCCCGATCAGGCAGACTGAAGGGGAATCCGGGTCGCAAATTATTATTTGAATAACAACAGGTCAGTCAAATCACAAGTGACGGTCACTGAATAGACACTAACGTACGACCTTTATTTCATCGTAAAAGCTGGTATATTTAAAGGTTATCAATGCCTAATATATCCACGAGGAGAATAGATTAAGTAAGAAAGTTAGGTAAGAGAAAGAGAGCATTTCAGTCATGATTACTTTATGTAACCATGATAATATTTGACCATTAAGGCTCTATTCATCATGGAATGAAATCATTTGGAGAATCATAGTGGTTATTAGTGACATGTTTAGAGATGGATATCCCGAAATTTTAAAGAAAAGCCATGGTCTGTGGGGTCAGGCAGTCGGAAGTGAACCGGATGCCACCTGACCATTGAACTCCAACC